AAATATTATGTACTTCAATGGAACTCAGATTTTCAATTGTTATGTAATATCTACCACAATCGACTTATTTCGATTACATATTCTAGATTTTAACTGTCCAAAAAGCAAATTCCAACGGCAATAAAGTTTGAGTTATAATTACAAAATTTAAAATTTTTACACACTGACTATAACAAAGCTACATTTTAAGCCAGCTTGAGTATTATACCGGGTGATTTTTTTAATGTCTGCACTAGTTACTCATGACCATGACGCTTACGTCAGCAGTTAAATTGCAACTGGGTAACTAGAGCAGAAATTTAAAAGATCATCCGATATTAGGTAATTATATTTTGAACTTGAAAAAAAATTCGTAATGTTGCAGAGCATGGACCGACCCTTTTAAAAATTGAAGATAATCAATAGACGTAATTTAAAGTAGTCGGTTCGATAGTTTCGAAGACTATTGGGGTAATAAAACTATCAGTACTTCAAAGTGAATCTAAAAAAAAACAAGTAGATATAAATAGCAATGTTTATGTATTTAAATTTTACCCACACACTGATTAACAAAATATTGATCATGCAGAAGCCAATTTTTGGTGGTAAATATTGACAATTTTTTTACAAATCTAATGAATGCCTCAAACCTTGGATATAAATTATTTATTATCAAATACTTCTACAACAAATTCCTAACTCCTCTCGTGAGTGAAGGTTAATTGTCAAAAGTCCGCGAAGGCAGTAATTATATTTTTTAAGGTATCTTTATTTTAAACAATACTCTTCTTCGTTACAACAATTTAGGAATAAATAAATCAAATGAGATTCGTAATCGAACATCAAAGTGGCGTGTTAGAACATTAGTCATATCCTTTCTACTTACTTTGAGAATAACTACTTGTAGGCCAAAAATCTAACCAGAAAAGTCGAAGGTCGACTGAGGTTGTAGAACTACTAACTGATACGTACAATATAGTACTAATTTTGGTTAGAGCGGACTAGAAATAAAAATAAAGTTAGAAGAAAATTTTTACAAATACCAAGACTGGGTATAACAATCTAACAAATTTGTGACACTTGTAATTATACGAAGTCCTTCAACTAGCTAATTCCATCCCGTCCATTTTTCATCCATTTGAATCAAGTTTACAAACTGGTGAGTTTGCAACATGTAGTTGACCTACTTCTTCCAGCCCGACCGTCCGGAATAAAATCCCTCACTTAAAATAAGACCCGCAAATCTGCCTCAAGATATAGGGACTGTGCATAGGATTTAACGGATTTTATCAACGATTTTTATCAACAGTTTGTGGGGCCGATTTGTCACTTTCCATTCATGCCGGCTTTTTGTGAACGATATCTACAACCTCCTTTATACGAAAATTATCAAATACCCAATCTAAAGTGGATTACATGATTAGGCATTGTTCAACAATGAGTCACGTAAAGCTTGACTAACTTCCCAAGAATGATCCAAATCTTGTTTAATTCCTTTTATCACTAATTGCGGTGACCTCACCGAAGCAACAAAAATCAACACTGATGAATTTTGTCCAATCCTCTAAACCGCCTTTATCACCACACGAATAAAAGACTGCTCTCGAAACCGGACCAATAAAAAATTCGCCATCAGCTAGAACACCCTTGCATAATCCCTCCCATTGTACTGGAGCATTTTCGCACCAATTCAAAAAATAATTTATCTTTGTTATTTTGCACTAATGCTAAACCCGCCTTTGCACGAATGAAGGGTGAAGAGAAACAAAACCCTTGACACGAATCCCGTGCAATGTTACGGCTTAACCGACTACTCTACAGATTAATTTTAGTTCGGAACACGAAGCTCGATACATCGAGTTTTCAAGTACACATTTGTCTGTGTTCTTTATCAGGATTAAGGGCTGACGTGTCCTGGTAGGAAGTGACAGGGGTCAAGTCGCAAGTTTTATAAGAAAAACGAAAAAACGAAGAGAAAAGACCGGCCGGTAGGCAGGGGATGTCGTTTTCGTTTTTGACAGGATGAAAGGGATAGAAATTATAAGACAAACCGAAAATAGTTACAACGGGAGATACATGCTGGGATCGGTTACGTACACGTGAGAAATCAGTGTTTTATCCGAGTCGTACACTATACTTTTCCTACAACCATCGTTATGCTACTTTATTTGTTATCAAAAACCGTTACATAACGATTGTAGGAAATAACATATGTAACAGAGAACTTTATCTCCATATTTTTTCTTTTGCTGGTCATAAGAAACATGTTTTCACATAGATATCCTTAATCTTCGAAAATAATTAAAAGCCTATTTCAAAACAGTATGAAACTTTAAACTGTGAATCAAGTTATATTAATTAAAGAAAGTTAATGCATCCGTCTGGTGATTTGAAAACCACAATGTTTTAATCGACGGAAAAACATGTGTTATTATTGCACACGAGAATGCTAATATTAATCATTAAAGAGGAATTTTGGGAAATCTACACAAACAGTAGAATATGAAGAAATGAATATCAAATTTCACATTAATTTTCAAAAAATAGGACATTTAAAAATGCAAAATTCTACATCTACATTTGAAGATAAATAAATTATAAGTATATTAGTTTCTCGCTTTATTTATTAGTTTTGCAAAATTCACAAGTACACAATTAAACAATTTCGTAATTTTACAATTAACAATAGTTAAAAATTTTAATCCAGTTTGAGACTGAAACACCAGTTTTTTTGTATAAAATATAGAGTACCAACTTTTTTGGCAGGAGACGGTCCAGAAGTGTCGTAGTTGTGTCAAAAAATAGGATTAAAGATTTTTTTTCCATTTATAACAATAGAATTTTCTGATTGTACCTTTAATATATGCATATCCATGGCGGTTTGATATGTTAACTGTGTCACATTTCGCGGTGAAATCGACCACACTGATAACATTTGTTGGCGTCAAATTACTTTGCGTATTTTGTGATAATAATATACAGGATGTTTCATCTCAAAATCATATACAGAAAATCTACAGAATACGGTGTTTTAGAACATCACGAACTTTGTATTACTGGTTTCGCCGAAAATGAGTTCTTTTGTTTAAATTGAGGTTACTCTTTGTTATTTTTTAAATGCAATAACACGAAATTTAGTTGAGGTTACGCAATAAGATTTTCAGGTGAAGGGTTTTACAAAATTTCTTTTCGACATAGCTCTGAACTCTGTTATCAAGTTATCATAAATATTGTTGCGAATTTTATAATAAAGTGAGGAGCAAAAATAACCTTTCAAAAAAAACCCACGTAAAAAATTCTTCAATAAAACTTTTTTCTTGGACAAAGAACTTGACGAAATAGTTTAAATGAAACACTCTATACTTAATAACATTGCAAAAGGTACACAAAATGGTAATGATTTAAAATCTTTACACGTAAACATAATAAAAGAAAACAGATGCATAAGATAAAGTAGGTTGTCTGAATTCGTTATGGTGACGATATGACATTGCAAAAGTGTTGTTTCCTTAACTTTGTAGGCTACAGTTTAACATTTAAAAACTATCTCTTCGTGATCGGTTCACCGAAAACGATATTAAGATAGGTTAAGGTCAAATTTTAAACAAAAATATCATTCAAATTGCTAAAAGAATCAACGTAAAAATGATTTCAAAACGCTTTTTGGTGATCAAATCTATTTTCGTACAAATTACTACCAAATAAATATTTCTGCAATTGTTGAACTTCCGAATCAATAATCAAGAAAGAAACTGATCCTGTTTCATGACGTGAGAACGTCGCCATAGCAACGGATGTCAACAACCGAATTAATCGAAAATGAAGCTTATAATTTGTTTCATCCTGAGGTTTCGTCTTTCATCATCATTTTTACGTTACTTGATCACACTTTGAAGAATTAAGCAAGGCACCAACGTTCTGCAAACGGTTCATTAACCGAAAAAAGACGATAAAAATATAGATACGATTTTTTCTAAATTATAAACACACACTGTAATAAAGATGTGATTTTACCTTAATTTTTAGGTAAAATAAAATTTCACCTCAAAACTAAGGTAAAATCACAGATGAAATTTTATTTTACCTCAAAATTAAGGTAAAGTCACTTCTTTAATAAGGGTAATTACAATTACGTACGGTAAAATTACGTTTTTTTTATAGTGTATACATTTTAAATTTAGTTCATTTAAAAATTATCTGTTGATTGACAGTAATAAGTTCTAACAATAGCTGGACCATCTAAACATTTTAAATTTTGTTTAATTGTATACTGAGTCTACGAGAAACTAGATAAGTTGGAAATAAATAAACAATAATAATACTAATTACTAAAATATCTAAAAATCATCAAAACTTAAATAACAAACTGATAATTTTACAAAATTCTTAAAAATTCTTTTCGACACCTATAAAACGTCGAAATACTTAAAAAAAAAAAGTTTTCGTAAAAACGGTCCCCCAGATTATAAAAAAAATAAATTTTCGAAAACGTGAAATTTTTCGTTCGACGATCCTCATTTCAATCCCACTACTGTCATATTTCAAATAAACATACTTCAATTAAAACAACACATTATTATTTCGAATTCATTAACTCCAACCACTTGTTATCACGTACCGCCATCAATCCACCACCGGCTGCAACAACGATCTCAAACAACGTATGACAATTTACAAACGTCAAACTTTCCCCAAAACGGCAATCAATCCCAAATCCCGTCATTTGGACTCCTCTTTGCTACCCCAACGTGCCGCAACCCAACAACTAGCTGTTGATTCAACATCACCTGTCACCCCTGACAGCCTAATTACTCCACAAACCCCCGATTCTTTATCACCGTTCTAAACCAGAACCCCCATGTGTGCACAAAAGGCCGCAAATTAATATTCCTCGAGTGTCCCGCCACAGGGCCGTCCTGAACAAAGTCCCGTTGCGCGCTTACTCATATCGGGGTAATTAAGATAAAACGGATTATCTAAATGAACGGCAAACGGGTCATGGGACATATTCATTTTTTTACCTCACTGAAGAATGCATCCATGAACCCATCGCGCCCCTCGACGTTGACAGCAACATCATCTGGTCCGACGTCGTCATCGTCGCTCTGGGCCTGGAAAACCCACGAAAATTAATCAAATCACCTGCGACAATCATGGGGAAAAACGACATCGGGGTAAAGGGGTGGGGCTTCGTGAAACAAAAGAATAATGCATTTCTAACCTAATTGTTGCTTGGTGCCTCAACTCGGGACAAATTGGCGGGGAAAAGCGCCGGACAAGCGGGATCGGGGGGACGTCCTGGGGGCGACCAGGACCACGGAACCAGAGGGAAATGGGCAAATGGGCAAAAATCGCGAAAAATTACGAAAAAATTTTTTACCGCAACGAGCGCTGCCAATCTGTCCTTCGTCATCTTGGAGAAGCTCTGATCACACACCACTTAAAACTTGCTTTTTATAAATGAATCCCATTCAAACCGTTTATTCGTTTAACACTAAAACTAGACCGAGGAACTCGACACTTTCATCGGCACACGAAAATCGATAGGATGAGCGAGCTGCAGTGCCGTCACATCACTGCGCATGCGCACCAAATCGATGACGTCACGCGCGAATTTTCATTTTTCGTCCCTTAATTTCCATACTAAATACGCACGAATTTGAAAAAAGTCCCGACTAATACGAATTTTCGATTTTTCGCAACCCCCTGTATCCAAAGTCGCGTTTAAACTCGACCAAAATCGAAAAACAGGCGGGCTTAGCATCCGTCATTCCGTTCATTGAAGGGAACGCCATTGTGATCCCTAACGACTCCACCGAGAAGCAAAAGTTATCTGCCATTTACGACCCCATCGGCGTTTATTCCACGTTTTTCGACAGCAGGTAAGTTCATTTCGCCCCTCGCTTTCCGTCCCACGCGATATTTTCCCGCTATACCCCCCATTAACAGCGGAAAATATTCCCGAAGTCGGTAACTCAGTTCCAAATTCCTGTGATACGTTCTAAAGCGCCATTTCCCACAAAAATTAAAACTTTGCAAAACGTGCTCCCGAGAAACCCCCAAGTTCGCCCCCAGTGTTAATTTATCCCGTTTATTCGGTCGCGAAACCGCTCCGCGGGCCCCAAGTGCCCCGAAAATCACCCATTTGTTAACCGTCATCTTGCAGGCTCTGTTGCAACCATGGCTCAAGAACAAGAAATGCCCACTTTCAAATGCGTCTTAGTCGGAGACGGAGGAACCGGGAAAACCACGTTCGTGAAACGCCACTTGACGGGCGAATTCGAGAAGAAGTACGTCGCCACCTTGGGGGTGGAAGTGCACCCGCTGGTATTTCATACGAACAGAGGTGCCATCAGGTTTAACGTGTGGGATACGGCTGGCCAGGAGAAGTTCGGAGGGCTACGCGATGGGTACTACATTCAAGGACAGTGTGCGATTATTATGTTTGATGTCACTTCGAGAGTCACCTACAAGAACGTACCCAACTGGCACAGGGATCTGGTTAGAGTGTGCGAGAATATCCCTATCGTTTTGTGCGGAAATAAAGTAGACATCAAGGATAGGAAAGTTAAAGCGAAGAGTATTGTCTTTCACAGGAAGAAGAACCTTCAGGTTTGTTATCGATTGTTTAATTTTGATTAGTCTAATTGTGTGTTTGCAGTATTATGATATCTCAGCGAAATCTAATTACAATTTCGAGAAGCCGTTCTTGTGGCTCGCGCGGAAATTGATCGGTGATCCTAACTTAGAATTCGTGGCCATGCCTGCATTGGTACCACCAGAGGTTACAATGGACCCACATTGGCAACAACAGATTGAGAAAGATCTCAAGGAAGCCCAAGAGACTGCACTTCCAGAAGATGATGAAGAACTTTAATAAGTTAGAACTTTTTACCTTATTTAATTATATATAATTTAACTGATGTTATTACTAAGTTGTCTTGCTGAGAGCTTGAATGTTTAAACTTTGACACACTCACTCAGCCTGTAAATTAGACTAAATATTTTTTTAATCTTCAGTAATGTAAGCAGTCCTGTTACTTTAAGAAATAAATGTTTTTTCACATTGGGTGTTTTGTGCACGTACCGTTAATAACTTTTGTAAGTAATCCATGGCGAACCCAACACTAAATATTCTCACCTCATACTGCAGCAGCACACTTTCGAGACTTTTACAATCATTTAACAAATATTTACACTAATTATGACCAGGTATAAAATAAACAACCACAAAATTCATTGTTATCAGATTTACATTTTTAAACTTATTTTCACAGAACGTCGCACTGTCATTAAATTTATTCGCAAGTACAAAGTAATAACTTAGGAAATAGTAATCATACTATTTTGTAAACTATAACGCAATCAAAACACTCAATAGAAAATTATTTTTGAGCCTGAGTTTCTCTCTTCTCCCTGGCTTTCTTTCCTTCCACCAGTTGTAGCCTCTCCATTTCCGTCAACAAAGGTAACGTTTTTGTGATTACACCGGTACCAAGGGTTTGAGACCCATCTCTAAGAGTAAATCTCTGCCCTTGTTCCAAAACCATAGGACGCATAAGCTTTAGAACCAACCTAAAATTACCGTTTAGAATGATCAAATATCATTTAAATAACGTACTTGGAGTCTTCTCCAGGCATCACCATTTCTTTATCAGGAACTGTCACCTGTATAGCGCAATCCCACGTCCTACAAAACATCTGAAGTTGGATAAATGAGGTAAAAGGTTTCATGCGGCCACCTTCTTCCTTGCTCAGAATGTAGACTTGAGATTCTACATGGTCGTAACTTTTTACAGTGCCTGGTTTTGCCATAACCATACCTAAAATACGAAAATTGAAGACATAAATACCGCCTCTGTCAAGGTAGGGAAGGAAATTGCGTAATACAATTTTTATGGGCGAATAAAAGTGTCAGTATTATTATTAAATAGCAATTCACGATGTTATGGTCGACAAGTGAATGTTCATTTTAATAATTACTATTTGTCTACTATTATTTTGTTTGCCTTTTCCATTAGCATGACATTAGTCATATAAATGCGTCTTCTTAAAAAAACCGAACTATAATTTAGTATCATTGAATTCTCCAAGCTTTCAGTAAAGGTGAATGAATCAACAAACATACACTAAATTGATAAATCGTGGTCCAACAATGTTAATGAGTTTTTTGACGCACTACATGGTGTTCTGCTACGAGACAACAAAAGGCAATCTATTTCAGAAACATCAATTTTTTAAGGTAGGAGCCTCAAAAACTTTTTGTAGTTAGTAAAATTGAACGCTCAAGAATTATCACAAAATATTTAATCGCCTGAGACGCCAGTGGAATCTACAAATGTCTGAAGGTCTTCAAAATGCCAACAAGCTATTTGCAGTAAATTTATTTTATAATGGCACTCGTTTCGCTTTCTAAAGGTTTTACTTTTCGCTCATAAACAGTGGATTTTTCTTCCATATATTTTTTGTGAGCCAACTCTTCAAAGCTTTGAATAAAACTTTCAACTTGAAAATTGAACAACGGCTTTAATATGAAATGTACGATTTCAATTGGCTCTCCAAAATTCAATCTTTCAACGCAAAATACCAAACCCTGGCGTGAATCAAACGAAAAAATCCACTAGACTTAAAAAACACAGTAGTCGAACGATGAACATAACAACTTGAAACGCTTTTTGTGCTACTCCACGGAGTTTGATGTTTTAAATGTTAAGTAAATAAGCTTTTACATGAAAAACGTCATCTACATGAATGTTTTTGTACATTTTTGCTCAAATTAACTTAACAATATAACAAAAACAGAAAACAACAAAATTCTTTATTTCTTTAGTCGGTTTCTTTTTGTTTCCGTTATTGTCTCCGCTGGAAAATTTTAAATCTGAACTCCCATAACAATAATTAATATAAAATTTTTAAGTGCAACTTAGCACTATTGTTAAGACAGGAAAACGCCACCCAAAATTTGCATATCTCCACCAGAAAATTAAATTAATTAATAAATATAGGTTAGGTACTCGTATTGAAAAATGACCCTTAAAACCCACGCACGAGAGATTAACTGGTGCATTTTATTACGTCATCAATTTTTGGAAGGGATGAATTCCCAACCCTGACGTCACGAACCTCCAGTTTCAGCAATTCTATGCTAAAATCGGTTTGATTTTGTAAAAAATGTAGAGACAATTGTTGGAAATAATGTCTGCAAACACAACCAGCGCCTGCTTTCAACCCCTATTTCCATTTTTTTTAGCAAGGAAACCACACTGACATGCTACATCCCACACATCAGCTCAAGATCTTGCATTTATACCCCAAACAATCCTCACCTCTCTTGATATCATCCCTCTTAACACCCCTAACAAGAGCCCCTACTTGGTCCCCAGCTTGCGCCTCTTCCAGAATCTGATGGAACATCTCCACCCCCGTTACAGTACTCTTCAGCACCTTACTAAACCCGACAAACTCACAATCGTTCCCCTTCTTAAGAACCCCTCTCTCCAGTCTTCCAGTAACAACAGTCCCACGCCCGGGAATCGAATACACATGTTCCACCGGCAACAAAAATGGCTTATCCAACTCCCTAATAGGCGTGGGAATATAACTATCCACCTCTTGTAACAATTTCAAAACTGACTCTGCCCCAATATCCGGATTCTTCCCTTCAAGTGCGCACAGCGCAGACCCTGTCACAATTGGTACTTTATCGCCATCGAAACCCATCTGGGTCAACAGCTCGCGAATTTCCATCTCCACAAGCTCGACCATCTCTTTATCCGCAGCGTCGACTTTGTTGATAAAAACGACGAGATGCTCAACGCCGATTTGTTTAGCGAGGAGTAAATGTTCACGTGTTTGGGGCATAACGCCGTCAGTGGCTGCCACTACGAGAATTGCTCCGTCCATCTGCGCAGCCCCCGTGATCATGTTTTTAATATAATCGGCATGGCCGGGACAATCCGTGTGGCCGTAGTGCCTGCTTTCAGTCTGGTATTCAATATGAGCTACGTTAATTGTGATACCTCTGGCTTTTTCTTCAGGAGCGTTGTCGATATCTTGGTATCGTTTCACGTCTGCTAGCTTTTTATCAGATAGGACTTTAGTGATGGCTGCTGTTAGAGTGGTCTTACCGTGATCTACGTGCCCGATTGTTCCCACGTTACAGTGGGGTTTTGTTCTATCAAAGACTTTTTTTTCGGCGTAAAAACGGTGTTGGGTGTATGTGGGTATAATGTACTGGATGATTCGAGTTTGGGAGTGGCGTTTTAAGGGGTCGTTTATTAAGAGTTGCTTTACTGTTCGTTGTACGACTAAAAAATCAAAGGTAACCTCAAAATTTTCATGTGATTGTTGTTTTACCTGGAAAGGTGCGGGCAACGATTAGGGAAGCCATTGCTGTGGAAAATTAAAGTATAAAGATGTGGTCACTGATATCAGCTGAGATTTGTATAAAAAATTGATTACTTAATTTGCCGGATAATACATTATTTAATCGCGTTATTACTAGAAAATATGGCGATGATAAGTAGGAATGCGCATGCGTGGTGTTTGTAATGTCAATTATCGAGTGGAAAACCGCCCAATTCAAATCACTCATTTTTGTATTAAATATTTATTTTATAAAATAATTTCGTTCGTGAAATGTCTTTTTACCCAGGTACAATTCAAGAAACAGTGTTGAGAGACGTTAAAGATAAATATACCCTGTACAGAGGATAGCCTTTGACTATTTCGAATACGTTTTTACTTCCTGAGAGAAACGATTAGCATGTTTTCTCGACGTTTCATGATCATGACTACTAATGCTAACCAAAATTTGGGTAAATATCCCCACCAACAATCAAATGACGTTATCTCCAAAATTTACATTAGTAAACATTATTTCAATGTTATAAAATAAGATGATCCTTCACTTGTGTTCAGTTCAGCCCCAGATATGCAGATTTTTGAAAAAATCAAAATTGTAAAACAACATTTTGCAGTTTAACTTTGAAAGTGCAAAATCGAATGCTCTAAAATCTTGGAAATATTTTGAGGATATCGGAATCATAGCAAATCGTTAATCAAAATTTATTCGTTATCCCCTTCCAAAAAATTGATGACGTCATCTGGATTTATTTATCTTCCATCACTTTTTTGATATAACAATTTTTCATTTTTCCTTTTCCTTTGATTTTATAATTTTTTGATATTACAATTTTTAGTTTTTTCATTTTTTTAAATTTTTTTCAATTTTTCCATTTTTTATTATTTCGGTTTCATAATTTTTCGTTTTTTCAACTTAAATTTTTTCAATTTTTCAATTTCCCGACTTTCCAAATTTTTCAGTTTCAGTTATTCAATAATATTACAATTTTTCATTTTTCGATTTTTCAGCTTTCATTCCCTCAATTTTTCAAGTTCTTGATTTTTTGATAACTTTTTCCTTGATTTGATATCACAATTTTTCGTTTTTTCATTTCCTTTATATTTCAATTTCTTTCGAGTTTATAATTTTTCGTTTATTCAATTTTTCAAAGTTTCAATCTTCGATTTTTCAATTCCTCAATTTTCCAATTTTAAAATTTTTCAATTTTGCAATTTTTGGATTCCTCAATTACCCGGTTTTCGGATTTCTTTAATTTTCAATATTTCGATACTACTAGTAAGGCCCCCTCAGAACACTTTGTTTTTTGATGATTTTGTTCTGTTTTTATAAGGAATTGCTGAAAAATGACCATCACCACGAAATTGAAAAGCTGAAAATAGAACTAGTAAGTTAACGTCATTTTGATTGTTGTGTATTAATTTAATTAATAGCTATTTATGGTATAAGTGAATAAAAGTGAATTTTACCCAACGAAAAAACAGTTTAGCACACGAGGCGAAGCCGAGTGGGATAATATTTTTGAGTGGATAAAATTCGTTTATTCACGTGTATCATACAAGATTTTTTCCAATTTCGCAAAATTTTTCAAAAAATTTATTGTTTAGGTAATCTATATACATAAATATTAATTCTACTATTACTAATATGATGAACATTTAAAGAAGCTAAATTGCCTAAGATGTCTGTACTTTCCTCACGGTTAAATTCAAAGGATGTTCCTGGACTTTCATTAGGATTGTTTTACAGGAGGTGGACTATCAAGCGTTGCAAATTTTAGTTGAATATTCACACATCCATAGCAACGAAAATTTCAGTGGTAGTGCGAATTTTTAGATTTTTTACTTTATACGTGTTGGGCAATTTTTGTGCGATATTACCGATCTCCCAGAAATTCGTTCTAAACAAAAAAATGTATAAAATTTCAGCTAGTATACTCTTTTTCACATAACATGGATGACATTTGGTTATTTTCGTGACACGTATAGTGTACAGTAAAACCTCGATGATCCTAATTAATTGGGAAAAAGGTGCGTGTGGGATTAACGATTTGTTCGGATCAGCGATTTTCCCAAAAATCTGAAAGAGAATTGAATAACAACTTCATACACAACTGAAAACAAACTTCAAGAAATAAACCTAAATTTTATTAAACAAAATTAAAGAATTCTTAAGCAACAATGGATAATAATAGATACATTCCAAAAAATATTACTCCGTGACCATAACACGCCATCTTTTTGGAATCAACACCCCGGGGTCTATATCCTGAATTTTTTCAGAATTTTTAGATGAATTTTTCAAAAATGAAATTTTTCATTATGTATTCGTATTACTTCCATTATGCAAATTTCCACCCATTCTCGACGATTTTAAATTTAAATATATTTTCTTTAGATTTTGGGTCTCAGAAGTCACTTCTGGCTTCATTTCTTCGATAACTTAAACCATTTTTCCAGAATCGTCCAGTTGAAATATCGCAATTTTTAAAAACTTCGAAAAAGCCGAATTTCACAGCGAATTTTACCCTAAACATGGTGTATTTTTGGAATCAGCATGTCGGGATATAATTATATCCCTGGATTTTTTCAGAATTTTTAGGAAACTTTTTCAAAAATGGAATTTTTCTCATGCAAATTTTCAACGATTTTCGAAATTGAACCAAATACTTTCTCTTGTAGATTTCGGGTCTCATTTCTTCGATAACTTCAACCTTCTCCAGAATTAGTTAATTAATTCAGTGCATTGAAATATCACAATTTAAAAAAAAAAACAAAATATTCCATACAACATGTGCAGAAAGATCTTGCGTCATTTTTGCAAGTAGATGCATGTTTTCAAGTTCAGTTCGGATTGGAGAGTTTTTGTTCGGATTAAAGAGCCATCAAATAGCCTTTGTTCGGATTACTGGACATACAAAATGAGCATTTTATTAGTAGAAATTGGAAAAAATAAATTTTCATTGCTGTCTTTTAGTCGGCGGCTAATTGGGAAAACTTAAAACATTTAAAGCTTGTTGAACTAAGAAGTTTCATTGACAAATTCGATGCCAGCAAATTGGATAAAACCATATCAGCAAGAGCAGAAAGATTCGCAGACTTTGCCAAGAAGAACATAGACCAACTGAAGCCATGGAATTTATAAGTAGAACTTTTTATTCAAATCTTTCAGCCTTTGTATAGCAAATTGTGTGACTCCGCCCATCCTATATTATTCAATACTGAGGACACACTTCAAATAGGGTTGTCGTACCTAGAACCGCGAGAAATTCAATTAATTGGATTTTTGTGAGAAGCGTTCCCACTGCCGCCCGAAAAATTACTAATTAGAACATTAGAGAAATCAGAAAGTGTTTCTGCAAAATATAATGATGTAAAAATACAAATAAAAAATAAATATATATGCTTGGAGCAGTTTAAATTCAATTTTATCTTCCCCTTTATGAACGCATTGTATAATTGTTTGACTTTAAAACTAGTAAGATACATTGATAAAACGAAGTTGTCTTGAAGAGCTTGTTAATTTATGTGATAATATTTTTTGTTCCTTACGAGGTAATTTTGCAATTAAAATAATTGCAATATTTTTTTAAAAATTCAAATTCTTCATCAAGAATAATTTCAAAAACTTGAATTATAGAAATATAAAGTTTTCCATTTACATATAAAAAGTGATTCAAAAAATTTCCATTTTTGTTATTTAAGAAATAAATAACCACTCCATGGCCTGCTTCAGATGAAAATTTTTTGAATCGCTGTTTATAATAAATTATTCGTTACCTAGTAATAAAAAAAGGATTATTAATTATAGTTTACAATTGATTCATTATTAATTAACTACGAAAAGGATTAATATCCAAACGGTATTGTATCAAAATATTCTAGAATAACTCTCTTGTCATAAACAAAACCAAATTCTTTTGTTTCTATTTTATTTAAAAGTTCTTTAGTTTTAGTATCTCTGGTAATTCGATTATATTGTGTACGGATTTTACAGTCTTTGTTCGTCGTTGACTCTGGACGAACTCTGCTGGACTTTTCTAAAATATTATTTATACTGTCGGAATTAATCTTTTTGGACGTTTCATAGTTCAGTGTAAATCCTTTAATTTTGAAAACAACTTTAGCTGTATTAGTTTTATAACAATAAGTTTTTGGACCTGTTGATACCCAATCAGCAATCCATCGGTCCAATCTCCCAATAAACATCCTGTTTTAACAGTGTTTTTGCCATTATCTATATATACAATGCTATCTGTATCATAATATACTACACTTTCTCCTAATATGTCCAACATTTCATACAATCTTAGTCTAGCATTTCCAGTTGTAAAAGCAGCTATGAATATATGTATTAGTATTGAAATCATTTTCTACACAGCAACCTTTATACTTGTAATCAATTTGTAACATATTTTAGTTTAATTCATTGATATGTATATTATCGAGTCTGTCGTCTAATAAAATTTCAAAAAATCTCCTAATATCTGTAACATACTCTGTTGCGCCCATATTTTGTCTTTGACCAAATTTACTCCATAAGAAATTTAAGCAGATTTTGGCAACAACTCACTTCCCAGGATTATTTTCTATTTTACCCAATTCAATACCTAGATTTTCTTTTACTGCTTTTCTATATTCTTTTTCTGATTCAAAATCATTTCTCCATTCACTTGTCTCTAACTTTATTTTCATAAATACTTTTACATATCCGTTAAACAAATAAATCGATTTTTTTTCAAAATGCCAAACTTCATCAATAGTTATTATTTTGTATCCTTTATCAATTGATTTTTTTACTTCGTTTGTACACCAGGTTTCTCTGATAATTATTATTATTATTATTATTAAGGAATCGATCGGCCAGAGGCTATGCCTGTTATGCCCGCGACAAACTGAGTAGTGGCTTTATCTCCAGTATAACTTAAGGATTTTTTTGTAGCACAATATGTATCATATTTCGATTTAAAACTCACAATACTTAGATGAAGCTAGCAATATATCCTTGGGTAACGCGTTCCAACTGTCAAACACCCTATTCGTTAAAAATTTTTGGCGAGCTGAAGTGCAAAACTTCAACTTACGCAACTTTAGAGGATGCCCTCTGGTGCGATCTGAGGTATTGAGAGGGGGAAAGAGCCTGATAAGTAATGATTAGATCCCATCGTT